GCCGTTATCCTCATAATTGTAATCCGCTCATGTATACTTTCTGATACCTGGTTTTCACAATCAATATTGGGAATAACACCTGAACTTATGACTGGTCTTAAAGGATTGTCCTTAGGAAGGTAATTGTTAGTCCTATGCGGATAATTTGTTTTAAACCCATTCCTCTTAGTGGTAACAAGTTCATTAAATGTTTGATCATCTATTTCAATTTAAGCATCTTCCCCATTAAAGCCATACATTTTCGAAGATCATTCTCTAAGTGGCTAATACTAGCATCAGCCATTCTCTTAGTCGGGTCCCATATGTATTGGACCATTTTTTTGCCAAAGTTTAAAAACATCTGATTTTGAAATCTTTTGTTCTAACTTTATTTTTCATTTTCGATTGCATTTAGTCATTGATTTAAGATGTTTTGAACTTCATCTCATACCCTATGTCTGTTAGATTCAGACATTTCTCAAACAATTTCATCATTTTAATGATCCAACCAGGAACAATTTTTTTTTTAATTGGTTTCAATTTGAATTAAACTCCGACGGATACTAATAGGAGTCAAATATTATGGCAAATAAAAGTTTGATTCAGCGTGAAAAAAAAGGAAAAAATTGGAACAAAAATATTATTTGCTTCGTCGATCCCAAAATTGATACATAACTAATCAGTATTGATTCGTTTCAATAAAAAAATTTCACATTTTTAATTATAACAACAATTATAAGTATATGTAAACTACACCCAAAACATATAAAATGCAGTTAATCCTGCTGTGGAACAAGCTATTATTACAAAATTAAGTGAATACAACCAACTATCATTCAAAATTTCGTCTTTGGACCAAAAGCAGGCGAGGGGCGGAACACAACAAAGTGAAAGAGTTCCATCACTCATACTATAAATATTTTTATCTGCATAATTTAAAATCCGATTTTGACTTCCACCCGTATTTTTAAGAGGACCAAAACTATCCATTAATTTACTTAGCCTACTACACTTGTATTCTCTAACCCGAAATTGGTAAGTATATATGGAGCTGTCTGGCTTCACTTGGAATCCAGCTGTGGTGGCCGTGGAAGACGTTGGAGGGTTTGACTTAAATAACTGCTACCTAACCACAACTCCCTTCTCATTAATGTTTGCATTATATCCTTTGCTTCCCCGCCAGAGGCTTCATGGCCACAACTTACAACTTTTCAACTTATTTCCAATGCCCACAGACTCGAAATATTGTGCTTGGCAAAGCACGAGTGGTATGGGTCAATTGGGTGGCTCTTACTCTTTCCTTCTCCCATGCAACTCTACTTTTTAATATTATTCTTCTTTTTCTGGCATAGGAGATATATGTCACATGTGGTAAAAAAATTCAACGGTATGTCTCCTTATAACGCAAGTTTCTAACAGGTAGATATAGACATCAACTGGAAAAACCGGTGGTGAGGGCTAAGCGGCGAGAATATAAAATGGCTTGCATTATAAGAAACATCTAACGTGAAAGCAATCAATAATTCAAAACCACCCCTCCCAATTTCACTGGCTACGGATAGGCTACATAACTTGGTTATTCATTTTTGCATAATTAAATTTGGCTTCTTAGTTTAGAGTGGGTTTAGAAGAGTCAGAGTTAGGATTGTGAATAAAATTTTTTTTATTTTTTTTTTATTTTCACTAGTTTTTTTAAATGGTTCTTATTTTTTCCTTCTAATTTGAATTTTTTTAATAGATGAAACCAGTTTGTTGTAATCTACAAAATAATATTCATTTTCAATATATTTGGAGAAAATAATTTCATACCACCCATACCATATGGTATCACCTTGGTTTTTAAGTCGATTTTAAAAAAATTTGCACAGAAGCAACGAGTTCATCATGATCTATTTGATCTACAAATTTATGGGGAAAAAATGCAGGACCAAAAACTACCATCCCTTACCAACCTGGTATGGGGGGGTATTTTGTGGTACACAATGTTGAAAGTTGTAAAATGATAGTTAGTATATTCCTATTATCATGTACTCAATCATTCTACAGTCTGATATATTCATACAACTATGATACACTTCCATATACTAAATGTCTCAATTTTTTATTCCGATAATATATCAAAGTTGATTTCATTTTGAAAAGCACAACGAATCTGATTTATCTGTGCGAGAAAATTAATTTCTTACTTAAAACTAAAGAGATATTATCCATTAAAATGTAGAAGGGAAAATGTTAGAAGCATTCCAAAAAATAATAATGTAGTGTTGATGTGCCATGTTATGCATGGATATTGATGAGAAGGTTATGAAGAGTATTCACTCCCAATTTTCCTTCTAGTTTCTACAGTATGTTGTATTGTTGTCCGTCCGAATAATAGATGACCAATTGTTTATATTGAAAAACTAATTTCATACTATATTGTTTACTTATAAGAGATTCAATGGTTTTATAAGATTAGTTCAAAATTAAAAATTAAATGAACTAGCTAGATTTTATTGGGTTGGATTTTTGGGCTTATGTGGTAGAACCCCTTTCTCTCACCTAGGTGGCCGACCGCCTCCATGGCTTCGTTATCCGACTCTCCCCTCTCTCCCCCATTAAAAGCAGTTGAGCTGAAATTTGGCTTCTAAAAATAGGTATGGATACCAAGCCAGTAAGACAGGCTGCCAGGAAACAGGGTACCAAGTCGACAAGACAGGCCGTTGATATGAAATTTGCCTTCTAAAAACTAAGACTGCTTAGCAACCCATAGGGCGGCAAGCTACCAATTTGTTGAGGTTGCAAAAAACTAAGTATAGACATTAACTTGGTAGAGTGTCAACCAATGAGGAGGTGACAAGGTGGCTAGTAGCCGCCTAGGTACCAACTTGAAGAGCTCTTAAACACTATAGTCTGGAGACCACCTGACGGGGTACCAAGCTGTCATGGACAAACACTAGATTTTTAAGACTAAGTATGGAATCGCGAGGGTGGGTCAACTCGGCCAAGGTACTAAGTCGACGTCATCAAGTAGACAAGACGGGCTTGGTGACAAGTTGGCAGGACACTAAGCTGGAAGGGGAAAGGTGTCAAGTTGATTACACAGACTTGCTTACTAGCTCATCGTGTTAAGGGTTATACACCAATCTCTTTTCTCAAAACTAAGTATGAAACCTTGAGGGTAGAGACTTGTCAGCCACCTTAAAGGTGGAGTCTTGTCAACCATGATAGGTGATGACTCGATATTTACACACATTTTTGTCCAACATTTTTGTACCATGTGAGGCTCAATTATCGTGTTTAAACCGATTTCACGCTAGTTTCAGGTCCTAGTATGTGAATGAAGTCTTGGGAACGAGTTAGGGGTTGATTAGACGAAATTGGGACGTTTGACGAGAAGCTGAGGATTTTAGGCGGCCTACCCAGGAATTTAAACAGCCGTGCACGTTGGCCGTGCAAGGAAAATCACACGGCCAGGGTCGTACTAGCCGTGTAAGGGCGCCCTTTGGTCGTATAGGATTTCGAGGGGATTTGCACGGGCACGTCCAAGTTTTACACGTCTGTGCATTTTGGTCGTGCGCCTTCCCCAAGCCACTATCGGGAATGTAGTGTTTTGGGATTACACGGGCAGACAGGATTCTACACGGACGTACGTCTGGCCGTGTAATCGGGCAAAACTGAGATTTAACCCAATTTTGCGTTTGTGAAAGGGACCTGAGTTTTAGAGATGAAAACAGAGTTTTAGAGAGAGAAATTGACTAACCCATCCTCCAAGGTGACCTATATCGAGTTTTGACACCAATGAAGCTCGATTGAAGCCTGGAGAAGCACATATTGACAACTAGAATTTGAATTCCATCGTCTACATGATGATTTATGCATCTGAAGCTAATTTTGCATCTCACTCTATGGAGTAAACTCCCTCTCTCACCTAGGTATGAAGAATCCTAGATTTGTGAGTTAAACTTCATTGTATGAACCCAAGTACTAACTACAAGAAACTGTACCTTTTGTGACGAATTCTATTGCGACGACAAGAAATTCGTCGCAGAAGGTGCACCATTTGTGACGAATTTTGCTTTTTCGTCGCACATTGTGTCAAATTTTCGCGATTGGAAAGCCAGAGGGTTTTGCGACGAACATTATTGTTTAACGACGAATATGTTCGTCGCAGATTACTGGATACTTTTTGCAACGAATCACTACCGTCACAGAATGTTGTGTTATGTTTTGCGACGATAGATTGTCGTCGCAGAATGATGGGAGCCTTTTGCGACGGTTGTCTGTCGTCGCAGAATGATGGGATACCTTTTGCGACGGTTGTCTGTCGTCGCAGAATGATGAGAGACCTTTGGCGACGACAGACTCACGTTGCTGAATGTGGGAGACTTATTGCGACAATTGGATGCCGTTGCAAAATATTGGAAGTTTTTTGCGATGATTTTTTTCGCCGCACTTGTTGGGAGACTTTTTGCGACGATTGATAGGCGTTGCAGAATGCGGAGAAATTTTATGATCTAAACTAATAATTCTTTGACGTTTAACTGTTATGTGTTGTGTGCGTACTAAAGTTAAAAAGATTTGAGATGAGTAAAATATCTATTTTGAGGTAGTAGCTTATGAGGTAAGAATGTTGACATACGATATTGACACGGATGATTGGAATTGGTTGTAAGTTTTAACTGAAGTATTCAAAGTGCTTTAATTGTTTTTTGGATTTTTCTATTAAGCCTGAAAAGAGTTAAATACTGATGTAATACACAAATAGTATATGCTTTACGTGTAGTTGGACTGGTAAGAATATTCCTAATGTGATTGTTGTAAGCTCACAGTCAGCTGTTCGAATCACAAAGGTGGATTTTTTTTAGTTGTTCTTCGTAAAGGGGTATTTTAGTCAATAAATATAGGGTTAGTATATAAAGCAAGAGTGGAGACGGGTAAAAAACCCTAGCCGCCCTAAACTCTCTTTTCCTCTCTCTTTTTCCTCTCTCATCTTCTCTCACAAAATCGGCAACAAAAATCGGCTCCTCTCGGCTGCGGTGATGGAGAGATCGACGGTGGGGAGAAGAAAAGGGGTCGCCGTCTCGCCGGTGGCTTCGGTTTTGGCCTCTCACAGTGACAATCAGGGTAAGATTCAGCCTGCATATCTGTTTTTTCTTGAGGGTTTCTGGTTGAAGAATGAGAGTGTGACATTTTTCTTTCTGGGTTTTGTTTTTGAACGAGGGAATAAGAGGAGGGGTCACCGATGGTGTCGGGTGTATAGCGGTGAAGGAAGTCAGACGGGTGCCAGATCTATTCCATCCACGGTCAAGGAAAACACCAGATCTGCTCGAAAGAAGCTTGACGGCTACATCCACGGGAGGAAGAACATGAGCCGCTCTTCCGACGAGAAAAGCGCAAAATAAACAAGATCTGCTATTTTTATGTAGAATCGCGTTGAGTGGTGTAGATCTGGTTTTGGCCTCATTTCAAAAATAATTCCTAAGTTTTATATTCTCTTTACAAAATCATTCTCGTTTTTTTTTGTTCCAGATTTGAGATTCTGACTTGCGAATCTGGATCTGGATAAGGAGATGATAGTGTAGGTATTTGGGCGAGATCTGGATTTTTGGCAGATTTGATGTTGATGAAGGAACCAGAAAATGAACCCAAAAAAAATTGTGACCTATAGTCCTATACTGGAAGTAACCCTGAAAAAATTATTTCCTATTCTGAAATTAACCTAAAAAATAATTTGGAATAACTCTTAAAAAAGTATGTGTTCCTATTCTGCAACGAAGTGTCCGTCGCAAATTAAACTTACTGCAACGAAGTAATCGTCGCAAAATACCCCTCATTATCTGCAACGGAGTAATTTTCGTCGCAAAAGAAACATTTTGCGACGAAATGATCGTCATTGAATCGTTAAACTTCGGCGACGCATTTATTTTTTCTGCAACGAACCAGTTTTTTTCCGTCGCTGAACTTTCTGCGACGCAGTATAGGCGACGAAGGTTTTTTTCCTGTTGCAACGACAGAATTCGTCGCAAAGGGTTTCCGCGATGAATTTTAGGCTTTTCTACGACGAATTACGCCGTCGCAAAAAGTGAAGTTTCTTGTAGTGACTTGATCTTGTGATACTGATTATATTCAATTGAGGCATGATTTCAGAATTGCATGAATCTTGATCACATTCTTGTAGTTTCTGATTTGACCCATAAAGAGAATATCTCCATAGGTTGATAGAGCACCATTGATTGGAGGTGGTGAATTGACTACTTTAGTCGAGAAGTTAATTCACCACTATGTACTTGATTTGATCAAGTAGAGGAGGTTTTGCACGTTAGGCCCTCTGTTCGTTTACTTCGATCGAGGTTAGTCGCCTCTCGAATATTTTGACTGGGAGGGTCTGAAGACCTTTAGTCGAGATTTCAGACTGAACAAGAACCTTCTGCAGTATAACTATCATTATATATGAAGTTGGTGAATTACAATTCGTTTAAAATGCAATCTAGTGGTAATCATATCCGGGTGACCTCTCTCGAACTTGAATCACAACTTTACTTCTTTGTATTTGCTTAGAGTAATTACAACTTCCCTATGTTTGAACTATAGAATAACGATAACTTCACCGAGTAGTCATCACATTTAGGACTCGGATTGACAATTAAAGCTAAACCCGCTATACTATGTATTAGTTCATGAATACACTTGGTCGCTTTCTAGTGTGAGAATATTGGCGAGTCAAGTTTTTGGCGCCGTTGCCAGGGACGACTAGGTTGTTGAAGAAACGTGATTTCTATTACGTTAGCATTTCCTTTCTCCATTGTTTTCTTTATTTCTTCCCACTTTTTGCCTTCACAGGTTTTCCTGTAGCTTGTATGCAGGTAGTGAATGACCCGTAGCTAGTCGGGAGCATTATTGTCGTTGTATCATGAACTTGAACCTACTTGTTGATAGTCTAAGAAAGCACTGCGAGTGAGACTGGTTGCGGAGGAAGAGCAAGTCGACGGCCGGATCAACAGCGATTCCGAGTAGTAGGACAACATGGGCGACGAACACAATAGGATGAATAACCTAAACCTCGGGCATAATCCACCTCTAAACCATGGGCAACGCCTCATCTGGGGAATCCTCTCCAGATTCCCCCAGTGAATCAGGTTCTGCCTAATAATGGCAATCTGCAGGAAGACGCTGCCAACCAACAGCCACCTCTGCCGGAGCACACCATGGAGTACTTCTACGCTCCACGGCTCGTCGATATTTGCCTAGTCATCCAGTATCTGCCCATACTTGCTAACAACTTTGAGATCAAGCCCTGTTAGATCCAGTTGATCACGACCTCCATTCAGTTTCATAGGCTCAAGGATGAAGAGGCGAGGGTGCGCCTTGCTCGATTCTTGCAGCTGACCAACGGTTTGAAGTTAAATGGTGTTGCAGATGATGCAATCCACGTTGACCTTTTTCCCCACTCTCTGGCGGGTCACACAAAGAGGTGGCTAGAGACTCAACCGGCATTTTCCATCACTTATTGGGATGATTTGGCTAAAAAATTAATGCACAGATACTATCTGGATTTGAAGACTTCAGAGATTTAGCAAGAGATCAGCCATTTCCGCCAGGAAGATGATGAATCCTTGCGAGACACTTGGGAACGGTATTCTGGATTATTCTGGAAGTGTCCCCACCATGACTTCATTGATGCATTCACCATAGGGAACTTCTACAATGTCTTGTCCCAAGAGAGTCAGCGGCTGATCGAGTCTTTGTGCCCGAGTGGAGAAATTGTCCCTAAGACTCCGCTATAGTTTAACCAGATGATCGATACTTTGGCCTCCTGGAACATTCTTGGGGGCAGACCACAAGAGGCAGGAGTTCGAGGGATAAAGGTATGCATGCCATGGAGACCAGATCAGAGCTCGAATGAGAAGTGGCAGAGCTTGTTTAGACATTGAAGCAACCCAATAGCCTTGTACCAGGTAGAGGCCTGGCGGCGCCTCTAGTAGCCAAGTGTCAGTTGTGCGAAAGCTCCAACCATTCGGTGGAGGACTGTCAGGCCATGCGGGAGTCCACCACACCAATGAGCTGTTGGACTTCATTTCCAATGCTTGGCGCCTCGACCCATATAGCGGTACTTATAATGAGGGGTGGCGCTAGCATCCTAATTTCTCCTAGGGTGGCAGCAACAATAGCAACACCAAGCCTCCTAGTTTCGTTATAAAGACTGGTAGCTTTCCCTAGAGGCAGCAGTACCAGACTTGACAGGGTCAAATCCAGCAGTATTAGCCATTCCAGCGCAGACAAGGGCATCCTTTTCAGCCACAGCAGCGGCAGATTCAGCAGCCGACAACAGCCTTAGCACATGGAGACCAGATATTCGAACTGCGAAATTTGGTGACGACCTTCACGAGTACCAGTACTCAGAAGCTTGCCAAGATTTACTAGTTCATGGATTTCTCTATAGGGAAATTCAATAAATTGGAGGCAGGTCAGAGGAACCAGAATGGGATTCTGCAGTACCTCAAAAACTAGATTGGATGCATAACCAAAAACAACGCCATTAGAGCACTAGGGACTCTACCTGCCAACACCATCCCAAAGTTTAGAGAGCCTCACCAGCAGCTAGATGCCATTACTACGAGAAGTGTCAAGACAATAACTGCAACTCCTGCTCCGGTCAGGCAAGATGAACTAAGACCTGTTTCAGCACTTCCAGCCGAAGATGAGGAATTGGAGAATGAGAAGGAAGCACCTTCTCCCAACCACAACCTGTGGTTAAGGAGCATGTAGCCCAGCTTCCTTTCCCCACTCTTATGCACAAAGACATGCTGGAGACTGAGTTTGCCAAGTTCATCGCAATGTTGAAGCAGATCAACATCAACATACCGTTCATGGAGGCATTGTCGAAGATGGCCAAGTACGTGAAATTCATGAAGGATCTCCTCACCAATAGGAAGAAACTTGGGTATCTGTCGATAGTGATGCTGAGTGAGGAGTGTTCTGCAATCCTGCAGAACAAGATGCCCGAAAAGCGAAAAGACCTAGGGAGTTTTACTATCCCTCTTATTATTGGTAGCATGCATGTAGGGAAGTCCTTGATGGGCCTAGACGCTAGCATTAATGTCATTCCCTATAAATTGTTTAAGAAGCTAGATGATTCGGGCCCAAATGTACACATTTTCCCCTCATATCTTGATCATTTAGGTTTGTATTTCATCGTTCCTCGACATATTTCATGCTAGATTTTTCCTGTTTTGATACATTCCAGGTCCTAGCACGTATGAAAGGGTCGAGCTCGAATTTTGAGATAATTGGAGGTCAAAAAGCGCAAAACCGAAGAAAAGTCCAAAGTCAGACGCAATTGTCATGGTCGCCAGACCGTGACAATGTCCTCGTAATAGTGAAGTGAAGGCGTGCAGGAAACAGCCACAATTCACGGCCGGACGAGGCAGTTCACGGTCTCCTAAGATCGTGAACATGGGCCACAAACCGTGAACACCGAGGCATCCAGCGAGGTTCCAGAAGTTATTGACGACAAGGAAGTTCACGGTCTCTAAGACCGTGCACTGGGGCTATTGACCATGAACCCAGGATATTCCAGCGGTGCGTTTTGGACGACGCTGAGTTAACGGACGCGTTTAGGTGTTCACGGCCGTGAACTGATCACTTTCGGGAAAATATGAAGACAACAGCAGGGAGAGAGAAAGAAGAGCTGATTTTTGGAGAAGAATTAGTTTCTTTCTCTAGGGTTTGCCCAAAAACATCAAAGGGTAGTTCTAGTGAGAGAGAGAGAGAGTGCTAGAGTGATCTTGGAGCATCATTGGAGGCTTGGGTAGAGATTCAAGCCAAGAAGAAGAAGAAGATCTTGAGCTCATAGTTGTAATCCCTCTCTCTCTCTAGAAACTCACTCTTTTCTCTTGGGTGTTGTAGAGCCCTAAGGCCTTGTTTGCTTAATGGATTTCTATTTACCACTAAAAAATAACTTAATACCACTTTGATTACTTTCAAGGAGTGGTAGTGGTTTATAAGGCTAACTTAACCATATTAATTAAATTGGTTTAAGTTGGGCATAAATGATGGTATTTTGGGCTTCATACCAGGTACCTCAACACACACCACTTGACCCACCAAACACCCACCTGTCATGTAAGAGGGGTCAAGTGCCAAGCATTGACACCCTTCAACATAAACCACCCAAGTCGGCATGATGTGGGCAAAATTTAGCCATGTATAGGGACCCACTACAAGGGGGGTCAAGCATGACATCATCCCAGGGGTTTCAAGCATGATGTCATGCAAGAGGGGTCAAGTACCATGGTTGCTGACACGCCTTGCACTCGGGGTATCAAGCATGATGACGTGCAAGAGGGGTCAAGCGCCAAGCGTACCTTCAACGTCTATCACCCAATTCGACATGACGGAGGCA